AAACTACCCACTGCTGGTTCTCATTTAAGATTGAAAAAAAACCTTATTCTATTAGCCTAAATATCGCCTGCCGTCCGAGTGCATGGCGTTTGGGATAATATTTTTCAAACAGAACTACTGCTATTTCAAGTAATTACACCGCTAAAAGCAGCCATTTGGGGTTGAGCAAGACCTCATCTCGGTTCCAATTCCCTCTGGTGTCATTTTCTGTTATATTTGAGAAATTCCTCAATAAAGATGTTCAAACAGAGAGAAGGCTCTGCTCTCCGAAGGACAGATTTGGACACCCTCCAGGACAGTCACAGGCGGGCCGTCTCTGCAAGCAAATAACCTCGTTCGCTCGAAAGAAAGGAAACGCAGGCAGGAAAACACCGCGGAGCGGCGGCCGCGCCGCCCTTGGCAGCGCCACGCTCTCACACTGTGCTCCGTTTCTTGGGGGCTGGGGTCTCACCGGCCTCCATCCGAAGCAACCCAGCCGTGGTTCGGAGGGCAATGCCACAACTGGACAAGACGCCTGACCCAGGCTTCTGGAGACCAAATGACAGGGGGTGCAAACGGCCTCATGGTCCTGGTGGGTGGTACGCCGTGGGGTGAGGCTCTGTGACTGACCAGGGTGGCCAGGGAGGGAGACTAGCAGGCCCTGTGCTGGAAGCCTTGTCGGGTGGCATGAACATGATTCCAAGCACATAGTTAAATGTCCAAAGTCAAAGGGCTGTGAGCACTGGGGAGAGGTGGGGGCTGTAGCGAGCGGGAGAGTATCTGCCTCCTCCTCCAGCTGCCCACTCTACCTGCTGCCAGTGCACTGAGATGCGCCACGAGGTGCACATGCCCTGGAGGGGCCCCCGCTTTGCCTCCCCGGTGGCTGCAGCCCTCCCAGTGCAGTAAGGAGTCCACAGAGCCCAAGCCTGTCAGTTCTCAGAGGGACGGCCGACACCGAGTCTGAGCACTGACAGGCAGTCATGGGCAGAGCTCAACCCTCCAGGTCAGCGTGCCCCGAGGCTCCTTACAGTACGGGACGGGGCCTGGGGACAGAGCCGGGACCACCCGTGACACCACTTTTGGAGACAAAACTCCAAGGAGCCCTAGAATTCTGAACTCCAATCTAGCCTTCCAGGTGGTTAGGAGGGAACCTCTGCCACGGTCGAGAGAGAGGGCACATTCTAGCCTGGGCTAGCTTCAAAATTACTCCCGGGCACACAGCCGAGCAGGCCTCCACCTGCACGCCTGCCCAAGTGCCACAGAGGCCAGGCTTGCAAGTATCCATTTTTACGTGCTATCCCCTGGTTGTAAAGTATTGGCAAACAATTCCATAACAACAAGTCACGGCACCGAGGGGTAAACACGATGTGCCTGAGGGCAGAAGAGGACCGTGGGCAGGCAGCTCGAGAACCTGGCTGTGCCAATGTGGCTGCGTCTGACCTGTGCGGTCTTCCCGCCGTCTGCACGGCTCGACGTATCTCCTTTGGCGTTCACTGCCACTTTGACCCTCCATCTCAGTCAGAGGAGCTAAAGCTGGCCGTGTTTGAAGGCCTGGTCTCACACTGTAACTCCCGCCTGGTAGCGCCCCAGTTTGAGTGTACGCTGTTAAACTGCACCCAGCTCACTCTTACAGCATGGTCCATTTCGGCCAGCGCTGACCAAGCCCCATGATCCTGAGCCTACACCAGGGCCTCGGATCCTCAGAGTGCTCCCCAGAGGAGGGAGCTGGGCTCCAAGAGGTCACCGACTGAGCCCAAGGTCACACAGTCAGTCTGTGCCCGAACCAAGCTCCGTCTTCACTAGAGCTGGGGTATTGTCTTGAGAAGGAAAAAGACCAAACCAAAGCAGTCTGCCGGGAAGAGCCTGCCCCAGCTCCCGCAGCGGAGCGAACGAGGGGCAGCTCCTCGGCCGCCCGCCGTGTGTGCAGGGGGTCCGGTGTGAGGAAGACCTGTGGAACAGAGGCCCGCTCAGCCTTCACCGCTTGTCTGAAGCCTGGTGGCACAGGGTGTGCCTGCCATGGGCAAGAACAAGCGTGCTGGGACGCAGGTGGTTCTGCACAGGCACAGGTGCTACAGGGGACAGGGAGCCCCAGGGAGTGCAGGCGGCAAGGGCCCTGGCCCCCGCGAGGCCTCAAGAGGTGCAGGTTGCAGGTGTCAACACAGGGCGCCTGCAAGTTGATGACCAGATCAGCCCTGATGTGCTAGTGCACTCAGGACAGCCACCTCCGCTGCGTCTCCACGCCCGTGATCTCCCCAAGTCACACAGCAAGTCCACAGCACCGGGGCCGTGCGGCCCAGTGCACAGGTGACGAGGGTGCAGTGACTCGCCAGAGGTCACACAGCTGAGAGCTGGGAGTCCCGGGGTCTGTCCTCCTGAGCAGCTGGGTGACAGCTCTGCCTTCACTGACCAGTTACTGAAACGGCTTCTCTCTTCATCGGAAAAGCGGGCAAACAACTGGGAAAGCGAAGCTCTGTTTCGGGAGGGTTGAATGAGATAACACTTGGATAACATTTAACCTCGCATCTGGCACGACGCATGTCCTGCATAGACTTCAAAGGCTCCACCTAACTCTGCAGCCCCTCTCCCGGCAGCCCCGCACGCGGTCCCAGTCCAGCCTGGAACGCTGCCTGCCGCTCTCTGCAGGGCCGTGCCCTTGACCGGCGACCTTCTCCCCGGCCTCTGGAGACTGCTACCCCTCTGTCCAAGGCCCCTCTTCAACCCCTAACCTCACCCATCCAGGGCGGCTTTCCACAGGCCCCTCTGGGCTTCGGTAACCTGCTCTCCAGACCTCCATTTGGCACTTATTTTGGGTGTAATTACATGTTCACAGATCTGTTCCACATAACAAACTCATCTGTGATTCAACATGCATTAAACAAAACCAGGCAGCAAGCGCACTGAGAGGCAGAGGTCCAGGGCACACAGGAAGCCGAGCTGCCTGTGCCGCGCACCAACACGCAGGCCGGCAGAGGGTCTGCAGAGCCCTCTTAGGAAGCCCTACATAGAGAGCCACAAAAAATTCAGGGGGCCCTTTGACCCAGGAGTTCCACTTTGGGGAAGCATTCCTAAGGATACAACTGGGAAAAAAAAGTTTATGCCCAGAATTGCCTCTGGATTCTGACAGCAGGAACAAACAAACAAAAAGGAAACAATCCACATGTCCCATCACGGGGCCGGTGCTGCGGCACTGTGGGTAAAACCGCTGCCTGTGACGCCGGCACCCCAGATGGGGCTGCTCCACTTCTCATCCAGCTCCCTGCTAACGGCCTGGGAAAAGCAGAGGAAGACGGCCCAAGTGCTTCAGCCCCTGCCATCCATGCAGGAGGCCTGAATGAAGCTCCTGGCTCCTGGCCTCGGCCATCTGGGGAGTGAACCAGCCGATGGAAGGTACCTCTGCCTCTTCCTTTCTCTCTGTAACTCTGACTTTCAAATCAATCAATCAACCTTTTAAAAAATAAATAAATGTCCAGTCACAAAACAGCAGAATCCCCTACAAAGGTAACCCCTGCTTGCTGAGCTATGCTAGGGGCCACTCTTCACTCCACACTGTCACTCACCCTCACACACCACCCGGTGGGCGGGCGGCACATGGCCCTTACCTTAGGGCACAGAAGACAAGGCTCAGCGACCAACATGGCAGCAAGAGCTACAAGCAGTTGGCGCTCCCTACACCGGGCCCACGTCTCAGAGGTCTGGGTGTCCTTGGTCACTGCTCCTCACCGCCTTGGCCTACCAAGAAGGGCCTGGGCCCAGACAAGTCGCTGACACATCTTGCCAAGGCCACGTCCCCATGCCCAAGGCTCCAGCTGCCATGCCCCTGAGCACCCAGCAGCTGGTGGTAGAGGCCAGTGGGACAGGCGGTTCTGCTCTGAGAGCCACAGGCTCCTCCCCATCCAGACGGCAAACAAGCTGTTTTGGGTCGACAGCTGTTGCTATGCTTCCCACTGTTTGTGACTGTGACCTCGTCTGGAAACAGGGTCCTGGTAGACAATCGGGTTGAGATGAGGTTGTTAGGGTGAACCCTAATCTAGTACAACCACTGCCCTGATCAAAAAGGGAAACTGGACACAGAGAGACACACACAGTGCTAACACAGTGGGCAGGCATGGGGGACGCCATCCATGGGCCAAGGAAATGCCTGAGGGCACCAGGAGCCGGCAGCGGAGTCTGGCACAGACTCTCCCTCCCAGGCCTCAGGAGGAACGGGCCCTGCTGGCAAGTGTGAGGGATCCATGCGTGTCGTCCAAGCTGCCCAGCACGTGACTTGGTGTGCATCCCTGGAGACTGACACGGTGACTGTAACTTAGACTGTGGGGCCAGCAGTGGTGGTGGGGCCATGTAAAAGTGTCTGAGGTACACATGCTGGCCAAGCAAAAAGTGAGACAAAACCATGCCGACTGTCTGATCACCTCGGCAGAACCACGGCTGCACACAGAGGAGACGGGAAGGAAACCTACCAGATAACTAAGATGTCTTCCATTTTGTCTTTCCACTCCCCTACCTTCTTCTATGTACCCAGCAAAAGTGGACTCCTCTTACACAACTGGTTTAAAATGTACCTGACCTGTGGGCAAAGAAAGCTATAAATGATCATGCACTGAATGGCGTCAAGTTTCCTATGTTGAAGGAACTCAACCCCGACACCTTAAATGTGACTGTATTTGGAGACAGGACCCGCCAAGGGTAATGAAATTAAACCTGGAGTTGTCAGGGTGGAGTTGGGCAGGTGTCGTTACAAGGAGCACACAGAAATGAAATCCCACACGCAGACAGCAAGGTGGCGGTCAGCTACTGGCCAATGAGAGGGGCCTTGGAAGAAACCGAGCCTGTTGACAACTTGGTCTCACTCTGGGCCTCCGGAGCCACGAGGAGGAAACACAATTTCTGTTGTTACGAGACCCCCTAGCAAACCAGTGCAGGCAACCGAAGGAGGGCCAGCCTTCCCGCAGCCCCCAGCTCCGGAGCCAGAGCGGAGAGACAGGCAGGGCGTGCCCGGAGCAGGACACGGCTGTGGCACTCACCCAGGCAGTTGTGTCCGTCGTGCGCCAGCATGAAGCCGTCGAAGCAGGTGCACCTGTAGTTGCCTGGGATGTTGATACACTCGTGGACGCAGCCGCCGTTGTAGTAGTCATTCTCACACTCGTCAATGTCTGCAAGATGAAGGGCACGAGAGGGGTCAGGGAGAGAGCGGGGTCCCCTCTCCCCCACCCTGATCCCGGCAGGATGAGTGCATGAGAGGGGTCAGGGAGGAGCGCGGGGTCCCCTCTCCCCAACCCTGATCCCGGCAGGATGAGCGCATGAGAGGGGTCAGGGAGAGCGCGGGGTCCCCTCTCCCCAACTCTGACACCAGCAGGATGAGCGCACAGAGGGGTCAGGGAGAGCGCAGGGTCCCCTCTCCCCCACCCTGATCCCGGCAGGATGAGCACACAGAGGGGTCAGGGAGAGCGCGGGGTCGGGGTCCCCTCTCCCCCACCGCGACACCGGCAGGATATGAGGGATTGGGGACAAAGCAACAGGTTCAAGCCTGCTGGGGGCTGGGGACCTGACCTGGGTCGGGTGGCCTTGGCCACCACCCCGAAGAGCAGGGCCGCACGCTGGGCCTGTGTGGGTGCCCCTCGTCTCCTACCACGGCCAAGCGGGCAGGATTCGCAGCCGCCTCTGCCTCCCCGGAACCCACTCAGCACTAACAGGCGTAACGGAGGGTCCCGTCTGCCAGCCCCGACACCGGCTCTCTAGGGCCCCGTCCGCCAGACCCGACACCGGCTCTCTAGGGCCCCGTCTGCCAGCCCCGACACCGGCTCTCTTGTGAAACACTGCGACCCCTGGAACGGAGAACAGCCAGGAACTCCCCAAACATGCAGCAGCGGCTGACGCTGGCATCCCGCCGTCCCAGCTTCCTCGTGCTGACAAGGGCTTCTGTCTCACCAACAATGGCCAATGCCTCCGGAAAGGTCACCCTTTGTGCTGTTTTGAGGCTTTTTCAACATTTCCCATCAGGGGTCAGCAGGGCTATCAGTTCTGGAGTGCCGGAGAAGCCTGGGGGCCCTGGGAGGACGCCAGGACGGTGGCCAGCTAACGTCCCCCGCGTGGGCTCCCGCGCCCAGCGCTGCCCCCACGACTGCGTCGCCGTCCGCACACGGACTCGCCCCTGCACACGGTCACAGTTCCACAACCTCACACGAGCGCGAAGAGGACGCAGGGCCCAAAACACGGCCTGAGGAGGCCGCACCCCGGAGCCCACCCCTGGGCGGCCCCACCTCTGCACAGTGATGGCGGCCGGCCCGGCGGCCCTGTCCCCGCAGCCCGGGAGCGCTCGCTCTGAGTCGTTGGTGCCCCCACCCCGACACACTCCCTGGGTTCGTCCAAACCCACGTCAATCCACACCCACCCCAATCGCCACAGGCTCCAGGACAAGGAGGCGAGGGCAGCCGGAAGTGCCCACAGCCGACCCGGAACCGGAAGTGCCCCCACTTAAACCCGGAAGTGCCCAGCGCCAGGTGGATCCGCAGGTGCGTCTGACGCTTTGGCGGGCGGGGAGCGAGCAGTTCCTTCCCTACCCCGGAGAAGGGGCGTTCTGAAGCCGGGATCCGGTTCTGAAAGTGGAGACGAGGCCGGGCTGGAGAGGGCGGCCTGGCCGCCCCTTGACTGCCGGAGGAGTTACGGCAGGGAGCGAGCTCCGGTGGGGGAAGCCCTGGGCTCTAGTGCGGCGTCTGGAAGGCAGGCGTTATCTCGGGGTAGAGACTCCAGGCGGAGGAACTGGAGGTGACTCGGTGCCCGCCTGCCAGAGACAGCGCAGAGCGGAGGGCGACCTCGGCGGGAGCAGCAGCAGCGGAGCGCCAGCCTGCAGGGTCTGGGCCGGGCATCCGCGCGTGGTGCACCCACCCAGCCACGAGGACGGAGGAGCAAGGCGGCCGGGGCCTCCAGGGGCTTCACCCTCCTGCCCGGTGGCCATGTGCATCAGCGGGCCAACTCTGCAACTCATTTTAGTTGTTCCTCGGCGTGATAGTTAACACTCACAGAAATTGTAATTAAAGGAGCTGGCGTTGTGGCGTAGCGGGTAAAGCGGTCACCTGCAGTGCCGGCGTCCCCTACGGGTGCGGTTCGTGTCCCGGCTGCCCCACTTCTGACCCAGCTCCCTGCTGTGGCCTGGGAAAAGCAGCAGAAGGTGCCCCAAGTTCCCGGGCCCCTGCACCTGCGTGGGAGACCTGGAAGGAGCCCCTGGCTCCCTGGCCCAGCCCTGCAACTGGGAGCAACTCGGACTAGACTAAGTTACTGGAATTAAGACTTATTCTATGCATCTGCTCTCCACAATATGGCGCTGAGAAGGGAGGAAACAGCTTCTATACAGCTGCCTCCAGTTCAACCAATAAACAGCAGGAGCTGCTCCTGATTGGAGGAGAGCAGTGTACTCAGCGTGTGGGTAGCAGAGTTGGGATTGGCGGAAGAGGACTATAAAGGAGGAGAGAGACAACATGCACCAGGAACATCTATCTGAAGGAACACCTGTGCAGCCCCCGAGAGAGCTGGCCGGCGGTGTGCCGCTCCCCCGCGGAAGTGGGGAAAGTGGCCAGGGGGAACTGCCCTTCCACGGAGGTGGAAGGGATAGTAGCCAACCCGGGAAGAACCAGCAGCAAACCCGGGGAGGGCCGAGCAGACAAAAGAACAGCGCAGGGTCCTGTGTCGTTCCTCCACGAAGACGGGGAGCGACAGAAGACCTCTGTACTCGTTCAAATATATACATGAATCTTTAAAAAACAAATTCTCAGAGGGTGCTAGACTTGATGAGCATCGGAAGACACTGGTACAGAGACAAGGACACGGTTACCTCTCAGTCTCTCTGCAGCTCGGACCTTTGTCCAGAGCCCAGATGCCCCACCCAACCACCCCTCACCCAGACCTTCAGACACTCCAAAGGCAACGTCACCACTTGAACTCAGCCGCCCGCACTGCCCTGCGTACCCCATCCCAGAGCACCGAGTCACCTCCCACAACGCCCGGTCAGCCACCAAAGCACTGCACGTTCTCCCACACCCGACAGCCCAAGTGTGGCCTCTCGTGGGATCTGACGGAGCAGCTCCCAAACAGCCCTCCTTCAGCGGGTGACTCGGCAGGCGGCCTGGTCCCAACCCTGGGGGGGAAGCCCAATCCGTCACGTGCCACTAGCAAGGCTGTTGGTCCCAGCAGACATGCTACTTAGGCTGGCGCAGGCAGACTAAAGGGAAAGATCTTGTTCCATGCTTGGATAAAAAAATTTTTTTCTCCTTTTCATATTGTACCTCAGAAGAAAAATGCACATATCTATTCTGAAACCTATATCCGCCTTTTTAATTCTCACAGCAGCTCTCTGGAGAGCGCACGTTAACTCCATTTTATGGTTGAGTGAAGCAAAGTGCAGGGAGTCTGGGTAATTGGTGCAGGTCACATCGTTAAGTGTAGGGCAAGGATCAGAATAAAGGTCTTGCCCTCCTCAAAACCCACATCCTGCCCAATAGGTTAGAGCCCACGACCTGCCGGTCATCGGTAAAGTGCTCCGGGATGTTAGTTCACCTTCGGCACAGGGCAGTCTTAGCCAATCCAAGTTCCTGTTCACCCGTCTGTCCTTCCACTAGTTCCGTATCCGTCCACTTTCACACACACACGCCAGTCATCCCTGCATCCGTTCACCCAAACTCCTGCCCAGCACCCACTCACCCCGTGACCTATCCATTCAAGTGCCCCCCAACCATCTTTCCATTTATCTACTTGTGCTGCCATCTTCATCTGAATAGCCGGTCAGCTTACACCCTTCCAGTCACCCAGTCACCATCCACCCATCCACCCACCTGACCGGAGATCCACCCAGCTATCCAGTGCGCGTCCACGCCGCCATCCACCCAATACCCAGCCAGATGCCATGCTCCCACTCCTCTGAGCGTACAATCTCCCTCCCTCCCCCTCCACAGATCCACGGACCCAAACCCCAGCTTTCTGTCTCTCACACACACACACACACACACACGGGATAGCTGGTCTCTCTCCCACGCACACACGCACACATACACACAGGATAGCTGGTCTCTCTCACACACACACACACGGGATAGCTGGTCTCTCTCACACACGCACACACACACACACGCACGCACACACACACACACGCACACACACACACACGGGATAGCTGGTCTCTCTCACACACACACACGGGATAGCTGGTCTCTCTCACACACGCACACACACACACACGCACACACACACACGGGATAGCTGGTCTCTCTCCCACGCACACACGCACACATACACACAGGATAGCTGGTCTCTCTCACACACACACACACACACACGGGATAGCTGGTCTCTCTCACACACGCACACACACACACGGGATAGCTGGTCTCTCTCTCATACACACACACATGGGATAGCTGGTCTCTCTCTCACACACACACGCACACACACGCACACACGGGATAGCTGGTCTCTCTCACACACACACACACACAGGATAGCTGGTTTCTCTCACACACACACGCACACACACGGGATAGCTGGTCTCTCTCACACACACACACACGGGGTAGCTGGTCTCTCACACACACACACACAGGATAGCTGGTTTCTCTCTCACACACACACGCACACACACGGGATAGCTGGTCTCTCTCACACACACATGGGATAGCTGGTCTCTCTCTCACACACACACGCGCGCACACACCCCTACCCACTCAGCCATTCCCCAGATGTTCACTTACCCACACAGCCAAGCCTGTATTCACGCTCTCACGCTTCCCTTCAGATATCACCTATCCAGACAGCTTACAAAGTGCGCAGAGTAACGTGCAAAAAGAACAAGGTGAAGAGCAAGAAAGGAGGTGACAGAGTGACAGAACGCAGAAACGCATCTTTGTCGTTCGGCACAGTTATAAATGATGGGTCACAAACGTGGCCCTGCGCGTCCTAAAAGCCAAAGCTAAACAAAAACAAAGAGCCCAATCAGAGGCACTGCGTCCACATGACGCAGGCGAGCCGGCTGTGTTAGTGGCCGTGAGGTCTGGGAAGCCTTCGCTCTGCTAAGCAGGCTGTGTTTGGGCCTCTGATTAGAGCAGTCCCGGGCCTCGGCTTGCCTGGGGGAGCAAGCTTTTCACTGGGCAGAATGACAAATGTGCTC